AAAAAAAACAATCAGCCCTTTAACAAATCCTCAAAAACTTCACTTCATCTGATAAGGCAAAGGAAAGACATAGGTAGCAGCATTTCAATTGAAGGAGATTCTGCTTATTTTTTATTACATTATGATTACTTTCGAAAGATCTTAAACAATTAGCTTGTATGGGTTCTACTATTGAAACAGACATTACATTTCGTATAAGCCTATAGCTCAAGTTGCTTTTGGATGTCTGTGATTAATGCTACTCAAAACAACAGCGCTATGAATATCACAAAAACACATCCAAGTTACATTTCAACCCAAAATCTAATGGGAAAAAAAGGTATTACACTTGTTTCATTTCAATCAGCATTAATTATAGGCAGATGAGCAATTGTTTGCATCATGTATAAATACCTCACACTTTACATAATATATCATTTTTTCCCCCACAATTACTGTAATGAGAAATCGAAGGCTGCGCTTAATTTGAACATACGGAAGAAAATACTCCCGGAGTTTTGCTTCGCTTGGACTGCGCAGACAGCCATATATTGGGGTGGAATGAGATGAGGTCTCTGCAAACCATAGCAAAATGTATAATTCAAGAGGCAAAAATCTGTTCAAGCTTTGCAAAGAGGAAAGAAAATATGTTCTCTTCGTTTGAACAATAATTATAAAACTAAGCAAAGAGTTCAGCCACTCAATTGCCGGCATAACGAGAGCAAAACTACAAGGTTTTGCCATAAATCTAAGCAAACACAACACACATCATTCTCTTGTCACACATTCCTTATGGTTAGCACTTCACAGGAGCTTTCACGACAGTGACGACACTTTTCTTCAAGTATTAGACGTGACTTCAGTCACCACGATGGTGGTCCCCCCCAAAAAGACAGAAGATGTGGTTCCTAAGGTGCACCACTTCAGTTTGAGGAGACAGGAGCTGATTACAGAAAGTAGAAGCCAAGAGATCTTAATTTCGTAATTTCTCTTGCCATTTTAGGTGTCTAAGCGTCAGATGAAGGGAAGTACAGTGAGGGGTCTCCCTCTGACTCTGTTTTCTTTCACTCCAGTGTTGCAGGTTGCATTTGCATCATTATAAATGTTCATACATCTATAATGGGGGAAAAAAATCTAAATAAGGTAAAGGGGCCATCGCTTGTCACCCCAAATCCATGTTGTGTCCGGACTGACTGACCTGAACTCTACTGTGCCGGGTTTTCCTCCAGTCCACTCACATTATGCATGCTGCCGTTCTCTCCGAAAGCCAATAAGGGAACCTTTCTCTTCTCCTCCTCTTCATTTTCCACCTCCTCTCCGTCTCCATCTTGACGGGACAGTTTGGTCCCCATGGGAACCTCTATGACCTCCTCGAAGGCCTCTGTGACAGCACCATTTTCTCTGAGCTGGGCAGTCACACTTTGAAGTGAAGAAAGGTGTCAGAGATTACAAATTGTTTGTACATCAAGTTTGAGTTTCTCTGATTAAGCATATTGTTGGATTAAATACTTCGGCTTGTATTCTCATTTGAGATAAATAAATAAATTAATACATTTAAATGTAAATAGTGCTCATACCGTCTTTATACAAATTATCTAAAGAAAAACATTTGTTGGAGTTCATCCTATCACCAGTAGAGGGCAGGACAGATTCATTTACTGCATTACAATATACGGATCCATTTAGTAGACAATTATCCAAAGTGATCATGTTAATAACTACATGATCTAACAGTAACATTACTCTGGTCCCACCTGTGATCTGATGTGGGCAGTATGGGTGTAATGAAGCTGGGCCCCGTGTGTCCATTACTGTCACTGCGTACTGTCTCGGAGGTCTCCGGAGCCTGAGGGGCCGACACACTCACTGAAGGGCTGCTGGATATTGAACTCGCTAAGAGAGACAAGAGAGTGGGAGGTTAGTGATGTCAGATTCATGACAGGCATCATAAATCACATTCGTGACAATGTCATGTCAGAGTGAGGAAACTGCTGCACATGTAAATGTAAAAAAATCACAAATCACCTGAATTCTGTCCGCTCTGCTGGCTGACATCGCCATTACTCTGTGGGGTGGTTTTCTTCAAAACAGAAAGTAAAGAAACAGAGTGTGTGTGTTAGTGAAACTCAGCACTTCAAATTACAGCCACAATGCTGAAAAGAAGATGGCAACTGCTCAGAGACACTACACCTCACCTGATCAGATCGGCGTGTGCGTTTCATAATTTCCTCAAGGCGCTGTGACAGACAAGAATAAGCTCAGATAACATTCAAACCCTGTAATTACCTTAAACAGCGCTCAATGAAATGAACTCCGCTTACCTTCTTCCTCTCCATTCTCTCAGCCTCCTCTTTCTGGAAGTGTTTCTCTCGCTCTAGACGCAAACGCTCTCCCTTTTCTCTCTGGCGGGCCTCCTCTTCCTCTTTCTAAACATACAGAAACACAAAAAATACATTTGGATAAATCTTACATATAAAAATTTAAGAAATCTGCATGCATTTACTTTAGGGCTGCCAAACTTAACATGTTTTTGAGATTAATTACATGTTTAATGCTATTTAGCACACATATTGCTAAAAGTGGCTTTAGAAAGTGGCAGCATGTTGTTTGTTGTATTTCCACATCATTAACCATGAGCCTATCTCTGGCCTACAGTATACAATTAATGCATATAGTATGCATGATTTGTGTATTTTATTTTGAGACATTATAATGAGAGGCAAATTATAAACATACACACTATTGTTCAAATGTTTGGGGTTGGTAAGATTGTTTAATTTTTTTTTAGAAGTATCCTCTTCTCACCATGGCTGCACTGATTTAATCAAAAGCACAGTAATATTGTAAAATAATATTACAAATTAAAATAACTGTTTTCTATTTAAATATATTGTAAAATGTAATACATTCCTGCGATGCACAGCTAATTTTCAGCATCATTACTCCAGTCTTCAGTGTCACATGATCCTTCAGAAATCATATATGCTGATTTGCTGCTAAAGAAACATTTCTCATCATTGTTGAAAACAGCTGTGCTGCTTTATATTTTCGTGGAAACAGTCATACATTTTCTTCAGGATTCTTTGATGAACAGAAAGTATAAAAGAACAGACAAAAGAACTTTAAGTCGCTTTGGATAAAAGTGTCTGCTAAAATGTAACAGCATTATTTTAAACCGAAATCTTTTGTACCATTACAAATTGTAGCATTATAAAACTTTATTTCATCCTTGCTAAATAAAAGTATTAATTACTTTTTATAAATAAAAAATGTTGAACAGTAGTGTATATAAATTAATCAATTCTGCCAAATTCAAGTCAATGTTGAATTATGTATAAAAATATCATGAGATTAATCACGATTTTTATAATCTATTTAGAGCCCTAATGTTTACATGTTATCTTACTGAAGCACACAGTGATTGCTGAGCGTTTAATGATCTGTCTGGTGTGGTTAATGAATGAGACTGTTGTGTGTTTTTGTGTGTACCTGTCTCTGCAGGCGTTCAGCTTCCTCTCTCTATAAAACTTTATTTCATCCTTGCTAAATAAAAGTATTAATTACTTTTTATAAATAAAAAATGTTGAACAGTAGTGTATATAAATTAATAAATTCTGCCAAATTCAAGTCAATGTTGAATTATGTATAAAAATATCATGAGATTAATCACGATTTTTATAATCTATTTAGAGCCCTAATGTTTACATGTTATCTTACTGAAGCACACAGTAATTGCTGAGCATTTAATGATCTGTCTGGTGTGGTTAATGAATGAGACTGTTGTGTGTTTTTGTGTGTACCTGTCTCTGCAGGCGTTCAGCTTCCTCTCTCTCCCTCTGAGCTTTCTCCTCCTCTAAACGCTTTTATATATATATAAACCCTGTTGATTGTGAAATATACTTTTATTCCTCACAGTCTTGTTTTAATCTTAAAAATGCCATTTATACCTGTTGGGGGAAGGATTGGTGACCCTGCTGCGATAACCGACAGGTGAAGGAGATCTCCTGGGTGTGAACAGGCTCAGACTGGTAGTGGGATATGACAGGTTACTCCACGACTTTCTCACATTGTCCTTATCCTTCCTGTCAATCTGCCCAATGAAACAAAACACATCCTTTGAGAGACACCTACTGTACTTCCATACTTCATTATACAAAGATCAACACACTGCAACTGGCCTACATAGATTCATAAGTAAGCTTAAGCATATGGTACTTGCACAGTCACAAACAAATTCAAGCACATAATTACTGTACAACAATACTGAGTCTTGTGTATGTTGCTTACTGGGAGATTCTGGGTGGTCTTTCTGCGGGTGCTGCTGTCCGGAGGGATATACCCTGCTCTGACTGGTCTCTCAAGATTAAGGCCTGCTTTGATTGGTCGCTCAGCTCCGCGTGACTGGATGGACTTGAAGGACATGGAGCTCATTGGGTGACAGGAGGCTGAGCGAGGACAAACGTGGGTCACTGTACCACAGGCAAGTTTAACCAACCGACCAGGGAGTATTATGGGATAAATAAATTGATTCAATATAGACAAGAGGAGTGACAGGGAGGGAGGAAGGTGTGCAGAAAAAAAGGGTTAATAAGGGGTGAATGAGTGATGAAATAGTGGAAAGAGAAGAAAAAGAAAGTGTGTATTAGTATCTATATAGCTCTAGATAGAAATGAGACAACATCAATCGTCACTGTGAGGACAAACTGAAAGCGTGTTCAGTATGGCATACTACAATACTATTTTTTGCAGTATGATGTATACTGTGCTCATTTGGTAAATTTTTTCTATATGCAAGGAACTGAATTTGCCAAAAGTGGCATATTATATCCCATGATGCGCTAGAAATTTCTAGGGTGACAACTGAATTAGAAATAATAAAAAATTTGATTTTACTATGCCTTTAACTCATTATTTGATTAGACTGAAATTGGAATAAAAATGCATAACAATATTTTTAATTCAGAGATGAAGACTGGACAACATTTACTACATTAAAAATAAAAAGTAATGAGGTTAACAACAACGTAGCACACTTATTGTTTGAAATATGTATTCACACTGCAAAGTCTTTCACGCGATTATAAAAACAGCAGGCAGTAAATAGTACGGCACAGTATGCAGTAAACAGTGAGGTAGTATTTCATTCTAAACAACACAGACAGTTTAATTCCTCTTGAGTCAATGATGATGCTTTTGCCCATGATAGAATTTAATTAGTTGATAACAGCATCCCCAACCAGAAAAAACACACCAAACGATTAGCAAGAAACAGACAAACATAAATAGACACAAGCCATTGAGAGATTAGCATCAGGTCCATTTGTTCACACACACACACACACGTCAGTTTAAGCTGAAGTTGGCAGTAACTGGGCAAGGCTGTCGCTGAGAGAAAAGTCTGTCTGAAAAGCGTGTTTTTTTTAGCACAAGAGCCTTGCCAGAAACAGCCCTCACTGTTCTACAAGACCCTCAAACCCCTCTTTCGCTGCTCTCTTTTTTTGTACATGTGTTCACAATAAAATGTCCTGAAGATCAGCTATTGTATAATTATCGGTCGCAAACAGAGTTAAAACTACTTTGAAACTGCAGTCAATCTGGCAGAATACCAATAAGATGTCTCAGCTTAACTTTTAACATGTTGAAGCACCAACACAAGTTATTTTAAACATCCGAATTGAATTTTTTTTTTAAATGGCTGGTAAAAAAGGCGCAAAGCAAATTTCCCATCTTATCTGTATGAAAGCTTATTCCCACTATGGAATTGAAAATAATAAAATAAAAGATATCTTGCAATTACAAGCTATACCCACAATTTTGAGTTTATATCTCGCAACTGGGAGTTTTTTTCTTAGAATTCAGATTTTACAACTCACAATTGTGTTTGCTTTGGAATAAAACATTTTTTAAAAGTAAATGCAACTTTTATCTCAAGTTTCTCACGATGCAGATTTTTCTTCTAAGAATTGCAAGTTTATATCTCATAATTTTGTCTTTTTGCCCCAGAATTATGATAAAAAGAGTAAGAATTGTGAGATAAAAAGTTGCAATTACCTTTTTTATTTAAGCAATTACCTGCTTCTCCAGACAAAGACATGGCGCTGCGACTCCTGGCCAGGTAGGAGTGTGTTGGTGTCTGTAGTCGACTGATCATTGTATTCTCCCACGGGGTAAGAGGCATGCGACGCATACCTGGACGAGCACACACATGCAAATTCTCTTATATACTGTCACTGTCATTAAAAGGAAATATTTGGTTGTTGAGGGACAAAGTGCTAAATAAGTTGCTTGAACATGCAGTAGAACAACTGAAAAAGAAGCATCACATCCATTAATAACATCATATGCCTAGAATAGGTATCATGCATGCCTAGAATAGGTATCATAGGTGAATCATGCATGTTTTATGTAAAGTTCTGTGTAAAGTGAGACCAACCAAGGTAAAACAGGATTCTTTACCCTAAACATAACCACTAGTGGAAAGACAACATGAAGCCAATTTAAAGGCATAGTTCACCCAAAAACGAAAAATTGCCTAAAATGTACTCACCTTCAGGCCATTCAAGATGTAGATGGGATTGTTTCTTCATTGGAGGAGAAGACTTATTTTAGTCGAAAACAACAGCTTGAAGTAAAAAAATGTCTAGATGGATTTGTTTCTTACAAACATGCAACATAAGACATTAATTGATGGTCTGGAATGGTGTGGATTATTGTGATGTTTTTATCAGCTGTTTGGACTCTCATTCTGACGGCACCCATTCACTGCAGAGGATCCAGTGGTGAGCAAGTGATGTAATGCTAAATTTCTCCAAATCTGTTCCCATGAAGAAACAAACTCATCTACATCTTGGATGGCCTGAGGGGGAGTAGATTTTCAGCAAATTTTTGGGTGAACTATTCCTTTAAGATAGACCAGTCAATCAAGGAAAACAAGGTTGGTTACCATAAACATAACCACTTGAGGAAAGACATGAAACTACAATCACAACCCATTTAATGTGTGTAAAGCGGCATATTTTTAATTGAAAGAATATTTTTGGCCAGGACCTGATGTTATCATCAGGATTTGTTTGTATCATAAAGAGTGAGCTACGAAATTAATATTATTTTGTCCACACCACATAGCCTGTCACAAAGCAATAATTTAAGTAACTACATTATGATGAACAATTATGTAAAAAAAATTCTTTAAAAAAACATGCACTGATGAATTTTGCATAATAAAAAGTACATTAATCTATTTTGATTTCATGTTGTCTTAAAAAAAGTTGCCAACTGCTGTAGGATAAAACATGCAAGAACTATCAAAAAATGTGTTACAGTCAAATGAAGCATGCAGCATACACACACAGTAAACCTTTTTACTCATTATCGTTATTGCTAAATTATTATTTTCAAACGCATAAACCATTTAAAACTTTCATAAACTAACTTGCATAAACTAGCATGCAATATTTGTAAATACTGGAAGAGATTGCCTGACTCCAGAGTTGTGCGTAGCCAGAGCTCAAGACTGAAAATTACAGAATTGTTTGATTATATATAATTTTGTTTGATTTTTTAAATTTTTTATAAAAGCGCTTGGTCATGCTCACATTGTGTGGATGCAATGGTAGCGCCTACAATGAAACAGAATATGCACTTCATTGAGTGCAAAGATTATTCTTTGATCACGATATTTCTCATCCAAAAGGTACTGTGTACTGTGAAGGAGCAAAAGGCATGCATTTTAAAGAAATTTAACATATATGTAATTGAAGTCACATATTGACAAATGTAATTGACTGTTCTGTGAACCGTTCATTTAGGCTTTTTTTCATTAATGATTAGTTTATTTGCAGTCTGGAGCCATGGGTAGCACAGGGTTGAATCCAGTAGGAGAGCATCAAGAAAGATTCTTGGATTTCTAAAATCCACCTGCTGGTTTGTCCTGAGGGATCTTCTCTTTGGAGATTTGGGATTTAGATTGTGTTTTTTTAATCAAGCAAGACGACGAGAGAGATGTCTGCTTCTGTAAGGCTTGGATGGTACAGCACACAAATACACACACACAAAAACAACATCAATTCAACGAGGTGAAAACAAAAAAAACATCTAAAAAGAGACTCATTTGGCTGTGTGATTGATTGTGTACAATTTAAACCGATAGCGTGTGTGTTTACCTCTATCTGGTGAATTCAGCAAGGCGGCTGAGGAAGATGACAGGCGTTTGGAAATGACTGGATCTGTGGGTTTGGACAGATTCATAGTGGAGACTGACCTTCTGTCAGTATCTACAAACACACAGACGCAAAATACAACATCAGATGCAGACTTAATAAAACTTAAAGGCATAATACAGACAAATGCAATGAAGAAAGGACTAAAGGGGAAGGGAAGAGGGCATAAGAGGCTTTACTGAGATGTTTACTACTGTGTTTACCTGCATTTAATGGATGCTAATTTTTAAGTTAGTTCTGAGGAAAGTGCTTAGCTACGTGTACTAAAGACTACAGAGTATGACGGCACCCTCATCTACTTAATGCTGACAATCTGCCTTCCATCTGTATGTCCCAGAATGGACAGACACATTAAAACTAATAGGAAATCTGTGATGTCTTTAAACACCTTTAAAAGGATCTAACGTCACCAACATCAACATTATCAGACTTTAAAGGGGTCATATCATGGAAAATAAGATGAAAAATAGAAAGACACTGATGTACAAAACTAGTCAAATGTTTGGACACACCTGAAATGTTATGTATTAATCTTAAAGGAGTAAAGGTGTAATAGCAAAAAAAAAACTAAATGTAAGAATAATGTTGGTGTGAAAAGTGGACTATAAAGAAAAAATTAGGAAAAAAAGAAAAAAAAGAAAAGGATAAATGTCCCCTTTAAAACAAAAACCACTAAAGCTATAAGCCACATCCAACATACTACTGGTTAAGCAGTTTGTTCATGTTTCTGGCTCCATGCTAACCGTTCACAGGAAATTAAAAGAAAGCTAACTCGGTGATGCTACAAGCGCTAGCTAGTGCTGCTAGTCTGCTGCTCTACACTGATGATTATATTTCACATTTAGAGCAAAACGGCTGCTGACGCGCCACGCTGAAAACACCATGATAGTGCTCCAGCCCAGCTAGATCCAACGGAAAGAGAGCAGAATCATCAAAACCTGAGAAAGAAATATAGAGAGAAGCGGTGAAAGAAAGAGAGAAAGAAGGATTCAGAACCATACAGAGAAAGGGAAAGAGGGATATTGATGGAAAATAAAGGAAACAAAGGGAGTGTGCAGTGAGCTCATGGCTCTGAGTCAGCAAATGTGAGCAGAGCATAAAGAAATATGCTGTACTGCAAGTGCAAACAATATGAATTTATATTTAAACGCTCTAAAAAGCACTAATATTAGGATTTTAAATCCTGACAACCAGGCTAAAGTGAGCTTGTATTTGAGTTGCATAATCAATCGAAAAAATTCTGAAATCACAATACCGAAAAGAGAAGCATTAAAGCACCTGTAAGCAATTGAATAGGGTTCGAAATATTCCCAGTATTTAATTTTTTTTCTTCTGTTTCATTATCATCCAGACAAAAGTTAGAAGTAGTGGTCGACCGATATATCGGCCTATATTTGGCTTTTATTTTTTTTTAAATATCGGCATCGGCCGATAAGTTTTCCTGCTTGGCCGATGCGTTCAAGCGCATGCGACTTTTATTTTGACGGCGCGACAGACTTTTATTCTGACAGCGGCAGCGCCTGAGCACAGTGCTCACATTCTCCCTCCCGTCGTCGTTAACAGTTTTGTCTAATATGGATAGAAGTCTGTCTAATAATCAGATAGAACGGTTAAACAAAGGAATTAAAATGTATACAAAAAGTATTATAACGATTGCTTTTATATTATTAGTAATAGAAAGGCAAACATTATAATACTTTCTTGTTTGCCATCAGCAGTCGGCAAATACGTATTTATATAATTTAAACAAATCTTTGAATGACTAATGAACATTTAATTTCACAAAGCTCGCAAACTTAGTCGGATCCAGTTGTGAGATCTTGTGAAGTGTGCATTTGTATCCTGCATGATCGCGTGTGCTGTGTGATGGTCGATCCGTGTGAATTGAATGCGGACAGGTGGAGAGTTCAGCTTCACTGGAGACGCGTGATCGACAAACTTTAAACTCGTGATTTTAAATTATGCTGCGCTTTATGCATTTGCCCACTGCCATATTCATGTCATTTTCACTGTGTGCTGTATGTAAAATGAGTGTTACCTTGGCTTTATTTGAAAAAATATGATTCCAAAATCCCAATGCACACAAACTTCCCAGAATACTGAGTGCCCTGTTAGTTACAGTGTTTACTTCCTTTTTTTATTATATTATTTATAAAATATTTATTTATTTGTGAAAAATACTTTGTCATCTAAAGTATAAGTATGTTTATTCAACACATTTACTTTTTAATCAATTTTCAAATGATTTAAAATTTCTTAAACATTAATTAAAATTAAAAAAATTATATCGGCTTTATATCGCCCACCCTGCTTTCCAAGATATCGGCATCGGCTGTCAGAAAAACAATATCAGTCGACCACTAGTTAGAAGTACAAACACTTCTACACAAGATGTTATAGCCCACCTCTATACAACAAGCAACATCGTTTTATGTGTAAGTATTTACATTTTCCAGAATCTCTTTATACAGTATGATCACATTGATCATTCTGTGCATGTGTGTGTGTTTACCGCTGTTGTGTGAGGTGCTAGCAGAGAGTGTTCCACCCCAGCTCCAGCGGTTGGACTTCGGCCTGACTCTCTGACTCCTCTCCATGGTCCTCCTGATAACAGCCTCATACCGGGCCTGAAACGTACACAAGGACATTCTCAATCCAGCATTTAAATTGGACAAAAATGTCCTTTTAATTTGTTTTTCAATAATTTATCCTGCATGTCCACCCCCTAACACACACACACCAAAAGTGCAAGTCTACACTGATGGGCCCTTTGTACAAAATGAATGATTTGCCTTTAGTATTTCCTTTACAATAATAAAGAAATGGTCTCTGTATATCTTCACAGTGATGACAATGTAATGGTTCTCAACCAAGGAGCCTCAGCAAATGTCCAGGGCAGTCTTAATATTATTAAAATTTTGTTGTACTAACATAATCTTTGTTAAAAATAAATAAATAAATAATAAAATAACATACAACAGTAATCTGACATATTTTTCTTTTTTTTTAGTTAACAACACGAGTGCCAGAGGAACATATCAGCTTAGATAGGAGGACCTTTGAATATTGTTGTGGACAAAGTGGGGCTTAGCATGAAAAAAAGTAGTCTGGTAGATCAACTGCAGTAAAGGGTTTCCTGGTGACCTCACCTTCTCCTCCTCCAGATTCTGCCGTCGTTTCTCCTCCACAGCAGCGCGTCTCCTGTCTTCTTTATCCCGCTGCTCATCAAGCCTTTTCCTGCGCTCCTCCAGCTGTCTCTCATGAAACTGTCGGGATCTCTCCTCTCTCTCCATCCACTTGGAACCCCGTGCAGCTGCACACACACAATTCAGTTCAAGTTTAAGTTTATTTGTATAGCACTTTTTACAATGCATACGGTTTCAACGTAGCTTTAAAAAATAAACCTTGTTTCAATGTTACAATTAGTATTCTGTTATCAGCCGGAGATGAGTGTCAAAGTAAGGTCCATATGTAATATACAACTTTAAGACAACACATTATGTGACAGTGAATGTGTGAGGCAGCGATTACGGCTTGTGCTCCTAATGATTACAATATAAGGATTAGGGCTGTAGCGGTGAGGGAATTTCCCTTGCGGTAATTTTGAGTGGCTCAATAGCGCGGTATGCGGTTTTACCGCCATAAATATACATACATACACACACATACATATACATATATATATATAATTCGTGTGTGTATGTGTTACGATATAACTAACGAGGTCATATTCAGAAGACAATGAAACCGAAACCAAATAGCGTTGAAACAGGAAGTGAAGTAAACAGAAGAGAATGACAAAATAACAGTCCACTTAACAGAACATAAACCTGACAATAAGATCGTTAGGCTATCGTTAGCCTATATGTATAACAGTTAGCCTAGTTGTAATCTGATCTTCTAATCTGACTGGACAAGAGACTTTCTATTGATATTGCCACCTGCGCGCGTTCTAGACGGGCTGTCAGGCAGTGCAGTTACAGTGTTGCGCCACAAGGTGGTGGAACGTGACTAATTCAACTACACGTTCAAAAACGCTGATTCATTCATTCAAAGAGACGTAATGAAACTCGCTGTTGAAATCATTTTAACCTTGAGCGCCACTTTAGAAGGCTCAGCTGACCAGCTATGCCTTGATGCTAAGACAGAGATTTCGCTTTCCTTGGATATGACAACCTATTTTCACAAATATATATGACTCTGCCTGGAGGACAGACGCAAGTAATCGCACGCGCTCAGTCGATCTCTCTCTCATTCACTGTCTGTTTAGGCTTGTTAAGTGCAAATCTACGGAGCCTCTGTACAAATCAGCATGGTACACATTATGTTATCATTACTAACTTGTTTAATATTCAGTCCACATGCATGGTGTAAAACGAGAAGGGCATAACCTTACGAAAAAATAAAACACGGAAAAATCGCGGTTGCTGCGGTTCTTGCATTCCTCTGCGGTTTGCTCGTCAATAGCGCGGTATTGCGATATTGCGGTTATCGCGACAGCCCTAATAAGGATAATATCTGACAGTTTTGTCGATTTTGATGTTGAAAGTTGGCATCATCTAGAGTCTTCGCATGTGTTGGCGTCATCTAAAATCCTTAATCAGGTGCTGGACCTTTAGCAACCTAAATTCAGAAAAACTTGCTGGAAAATTTGATTCGTTTATAATTTCAACTTAACTTTTCTGATGTAAGGAGGTCTGGAAATCAATCAGTCTATCTATCGACCTATTGTTCGATCCAATCTATATCTCTTGAACCATATATCGATCCATCCATCAACCTGTCCATCTATCAATAAGGCCAATAAACATTTAAAATTCAAGGCTTTTTAACTTTTCTTTAAAAACCATTGAGTCATTGAAGGACGGGGCAACACAACAATACTGGACTCCACAACCTGAAAAAATTGTTACAGCGTTCACACAGATTAGCTGATTATAACAAGTCTTAAAGGTACAGTTGCACAAAAAAAAGTTAATTTAATGCTACAGCCCAGAGAAAAGGTGGGAAATGGTCAAAAAGCTGTGGAAAGTGATCCTCAGGTAAAAAAATTATCAAATATAAAGGAAGGCAGATGTAAATAATCAACATTGTGGATTATCAATTTCATTAGCATCCAAGCACTTCAATAAAATGAGCACAATTAATCTGCCAATCTCTCTCTGGCCTTTTTGTCCTGGCCTCTAAACCTTTACATAAAATCGGGTGTCCTGGTAACCACCTTGCCAAGAGTTTACATAACTGCCACAGCAACCTGCCCCATTCAGTTAGTCATGCAGTCACGAACAGAGGAGAACAGACAGACATGAGCTATAGCTAAACATTTTTTTTTTAAAAACCTAGGGCTTTACATGGCAAAAGTTTGTTTTGACATAAGAATGATTTACTGAATTACAAGAATAATACGTGAACATCTAACTTTGCTTTTAGACTACACTTATTACCCATTAAGACTCATTAGGACTGAGTGAGTCTCTGGTCAAAGGACATTTCTACAGTGTCTGCGTGTTTTCAGAGTAAACCACTGCAACCCTTAAAGGCAACATGAAATAAATGACCAAGCATATGACCTCATGTACTTTCTTAATAATTGTCTCTGTTCTTATAATGGCTTTTAGTCCACACAAAAGTATGACATACGTGAATGGCATTTCAGTTGTGCCGGGAAGTGTCAATTAAAGAATGTGTAAAAAAAAAAAAATTTTTTTTTTTTTAAGTTAATTGTTATTATTCATAAGAACTAAATGTCAAGCGGTCAATGTGAAGTTTTAGCTGTGACTGTTTAGTTTTTAACATTTTGTGTGTGAAGAATAGCTTTGAAGCTTGCTAGAACTACTCACTGAGACTCATAATGAGGTCTTGCATGACCAAACTACATTTCCCATCATTCTCTGAGGGAGCACAAAAGTGATTAATTTTTTTAAAAAAAAGCATCAATTACACATAAAATGTACATATTTTACCTGGTTTTGTTGTAGTATGTAGTACGTCGTAGTATAAGAAAATCAGTCGAGAGGTTAAAAAGAGATATTAAATTGTCCAATGTGTCAAATTTTTCCTAACCAAACTGATACGAATGCATTAAAATGTACCCAATTACCTAATTTCCCACTGAATATACTGCCTCATTCTGGAATATGTCACATTAAGAAAGTTTCATGCATTGCAAGTGCACGTTCATGTTGTCTTTAATGACAACGTGTGTATGTTTGCCGTACCATTCTGCTTCTCCAGCTCCTCCCTTCGTTCACGGACGAGTCTCTGCCTTTCATCGATCTTCAGTGTGAGAGGCTCTGCAAACACAAGCACAAAAACTCTGGATGAGCTCTAGCAATAAAGCTGGAAGATGACTGTGTATATACAACTAGTAGTATGTGCGGTGAATCTGACCTGGTCTGGTAACGATGTGTATCTCTGTAGGGCTGGGAATGGTGTAGGTGTACTGTCCAGAGGCAGATGAGTCCGGTCGACTCCATGACGACTTCTCATCTGCTCTAAGAAGGTAGTCAGAGCCTGAATGACAAAGACAGAGGAGAGAGAAGGGGAAAACCCCAACCTGTTTATTCATCACTATATCGAGAATGAAGAAAAAGAGAAAGTGAAAATACAAAGCGAGTTATTTATATCTGAAACACCCAGGACTATCATTATCAACTGCACTGGTGGTCTCAATATTAAAATGAAACATGAGACATATTAAACACATAATACATATTAATACATAAAGGATACAAATTTAAATAAAACCTATATTTAGTAAATATTATATATATTTAATAATACAAAATAAAAAACATTATAATACTTTAAGTAAACATGACAACAACCAGGAGATCCAATATTTACACAGGTGTGAACCAAAAATGGTACACATACTGGTCTCATGTTGTCATTTCTAAACTGGAAAACTGAATGAAGTTTTATTTATTTATTTATTTCTAAAAATGTCATTTTTATTAGCAGAATGACTTTCACAATACAGATTGCACCAAAGCGGTGTCAAAAAGCAAAGCTGTGCTCTCTACATAATGTTGACTTAATTAAAGACCCCTTCACACTCTTTTAGGAAGTGACTGTTAAGAAGGTCTATGACCTGACAGACCTCAGCCTGGGCAGTAAACATTTCCTTGAAAACAGATGCCAGATAGGCTTATGAATCCATGGGTAAACATATAAAGTATATGGCTTGAGAAGGTTTAACCATCTACAGACAGAAAGTATATTTGTAGTGTTTCTATAACCAGGTCTCTACATCTGCAAGCTTCCTGTGATCAGTAACAGATACTAAAGCAAACAGCCAATGTCAGAATCAGCAAACTGGTTTAATTGGGTCATTGATTCCCTCTCTATAACCAATCGGCTTCCTCCGGTGTGCGTCATCACACACATCAATCAATAATAGCTATGCGTTTCCTTGTTGTGCATCATGCTTTTCATACAACCTTACAATACAGAAATTGCAGACACAATGTCCCTCAATTAACTTGGGGTTAAGCATCTTGTTAAATAATATCCCAAACAATGCTGTTACAAATGAAGTACAAGGCATTGCTGTAGCAATCGTGACATTCAAACATTATAAGATGCTTCAATAGCATAAAAAAGCTATAGCTGTCCTATACATGCCATCACCCACATGCTAGTGTGTATTACGGCTCCCACAAACTGTGATCTTTAAAGAGTGCTACCCATAATTCCATTGTGGGGCAGGAGGGAATGAACAAGCCATGGCCAGATGGTGTGTCTAGATGGGGAGGGAATGGATAAAGGACAAAAACAATCAAAACTAGCAAAGAACATTTTAGCAAAAGTCATTTTTCATTTTCAACTTTTCTACATAATACACTAGGACCCTATGATTTCAAGTCACAAGGAATCACAGAAACCAGTCATAAAAATAGAACTTATAGTATAACACGATAAATAAATCAAATAGATGAATAAATCAAAAGTAGGGCTAATTATTATGTATATTTTTTATGTTTTTAATAGGGCTATCAAGTGCTTACATTTTTTTAGCTAATTAAAACCATAATGTACTGATTAATTAATCAAATTAATCTCAAATTAATGAGATTAACACATCATGTGCAGATTAATTAAAGATAGTTATTATTATATAATTTAAAGTCATTATTGTGTTAAATTAGAAAAGCACTTAGTAGACACTACAAAAATAGCTTTAGGAAGAAATATTTTAATTCAACATACAAAAATACAAATAAATACTGAAATATAAAATTATAAAAAAAAAATATAAAAAAAAATGATAGCCTACTCCAAATATAAAACAAAGCACCAGTAGGTGGCAGCAAATCACTGTACAATTCAACTGCAAAATGGACTGGTGTCTAACTGATTTCATAGGGCCCTATTATTATGTATATTTTTTATGTTTTTAATAGGGCTATCAAGTGCTTACATTTTTTAGCTAATTAAAACCATAATGTACTGATTAATTAATCAAATTAATCTCAAATTAATGAGATTAACACATCATGTGCAGATTAATTAAAGATAGTTATTATTAGATAATTTAAAGTCATTATTGTGTTAAATTAGAAAAGCACTTAGTAGACACTACAAAAATAGCTTTAGGAAGAAATATTTTAATTCAACATACAAAAATACAAATAAATACTGAAATATAAAATTATAAAAAAAAAATATAAAAAAAAATGATAGCCTACTCCAAATATAAAACAAAGCACCAGTAGGTGGCAGCAAATCACTGTCTTAATTAGTGAGACATTCAGTCATTCATTCAATCGATTCGTTCAAACGGGAATGGCTCACTGAATCATTGCCTCACTTGTTTTGTTTAAAAATGTTGATTCATTCAGTAATGAAACCACTGTGTTGATCAGAGGTGCACAACAGTTCTGCTAGGGCTTTATTTTCATAATGATGCTTGGGCTTTCATTTCATAATTTGTGTGAAATTACACAAAAACAGACGATACTGACAATGAGTCTAAAATGTAACACAATATTAACTTCTTGTCTATTAAAATTAAATCTTGTTGTATAAAATCAATATCACATTTGCAATCATGCAGATATTCAAGAAAAATCAGCTCTCTTGCCCATGTCATGTGATATTGCTAAACTATATCATACTGTATGATACAAATACAAGACACACCCATCCAGGGTCATTTTTGCACTAATATCCCTAATTTTAGGGGCATGTAACTGCATTCTAATAGCCAGGCTTCATCATGCAGTCAGTCGTCCTGCATCATGTTCTTGACAAACTGCATCAACGCAAGATGACAATTTTATCCCCCAGAATTATTTGCACATTTACCTTATATTAATTTTTAAGTAAACATTTTTATGTAACCTATTTCTTCTTTCTACCAGCCAATGATGATTCTGAAGAATATACAGTTATAGTAACACATGCAACTTTAAAGCGCATGTGACTGACAGAACCGCGCTTGTATTTCAGTGTTGCTGCTAATGTTATGGTTATTTTACCAGATAGTTTACTTTGTAAATTCAGTTCAACAGCATTAAGTTAAAGCGGGTAAACCTTATCACTCGACTGAATCTGCACATGCATTTCAGAAGGTGTTCTTGCTCTGTCCAAGCAATAAATGCATGTCTTTGAATGAGTGCTGTAGCGTATTTACTTCAACCACTCAGGTAATGTCAGTACGACCCATTTCAGGGACTGCTAAAATTACAATTTAAAATCTGTCAGAGCTATAAATATGCATCTTATATTTACAAGTAAATCTCCATATTATGCGTAGGGCACATGAAGTTTTGAAATCCCAATTCCTTCAACAAAATGCTAAATTGTCTGAGGATTTTATGAACAAGTCACTTTTGGAAAACATCCACCCTAATGGTGTTCTATGACTGTTAGGATGCTGTCTACACAGCTCGTTACGTGTTAGAACAGAGCTATTGTGATATTATTCAATCTATTTCCATGTGCGATCCCTGAGGAGATGGAACTGAAACAGCTGTCACTCACTCGCTCTAGATTCCAGGACAATGTTGCTCCTGATTTATCCCAGGCCAAACTCCATCTGACCCATTTACCTTCCTTCCAAAAATGCAATATATCACCTTTCCGAGACAAACAATGGGCAAGGTCTCAAATGATTACGGAGGGCAATTTCTGAAATTATACTATTCCAGAAAAAGGGACAAATCTTAATAATAAAAGCCGTCATTGTTTCACATTTCATTCAGAAAGGATCACCTCAGTTTCTACCAGCTCTGAAAAGAAACACATTACTACAGTAATCTATCCTGGAGTTCTCAGTTCTCCACTGAGACTTATTAAAAAGCAGCATACATGTGTAAACTTTAGCTAATTACTTTATGGCAAGGGAGACCCAGTGGTGTTTAACCCAGAAATTACCTGACAGCAAATCTGAAATCCAACACAAAATGCAATTATTATGCGGCTTATAAAACTGCAAAAGACAATCCTTAACAATCCTACATATCAGTAGGGCTGGGTATCGAGTTTGATACTTTTTAGGCACCGACCGAATTGCCTCGATACCATCGAGTATCGAAAAACGTATCGTTCGGTACCAAATTTCGATACCTAAGGGGTTTCATCTCATCAGCGTCAGTGAGCCAATAAGCCTGCTGCACTAGCCAGTGTGTTCGACTAAAAGAGGTGCGACGCAGATCGATCATTCGCAAGAGTGATTCGAAAGTGCACGGAGCAGTCTGCTCTCTTTAGCTCTCGTGGTACTGTAATACACCGATCGGTCTTCACAGTTGGTCCGCGTCAATTCGAACACACCTACTAGTTTACACCGGTTACACTCAGAGATGTGGCGCACACGTGAGGCTATAGTGTGAATGCGTCCCAGCCCCCTTAGATGTAAGGCTACATTTACACTGGTGTGTTTATGTTTTAAAATGAAAACGATCCTCGTCATTAGGCATGGGCCGATTACCGGTTTGAAGGTATACCGTGATTTAAAAATGTCACAGTTTCAAAACCGCTAATATTTTCCATTATACCGTTCCTGCGGTATGCGCTGTTTTTCATGTCTCCTCAAAGACTGAAAGAGTAGGAATCCCTCAGGTTGAGTGCAGTGTAGAGAGTAACACGACCCTCCTCCTGTTGGTGCGAGCGAGTGGTCAGTCATGTGTGTTGTAGGATGGACGAACCTAAGGAGCTTCCCCTGGAACTTACGCGATTGGCAACCGGCCGTTTTTTGTCTTATTGCAAGCAACTCGTCTCTGTTCTGGACTTGCACAAACTGCATTGCAATGCAATCATTTTCCAAAATGTAATTTATGTGAAAATATGAAGTCTGTGAATGCATGTTAACACAGGCCAGAGCCGTTGAAGACAGACGCACAGAGAAAAATACTGTAGCAGGCAGATCACTCACTGTTCATGATGCACGAACTATTGGAAGAAAATCCTCAATATTGATTTGGGGGTTTATATGAATGTGTTTCTGAGGGGAACTGACTGTCTTCAGAAAAGTTTACATGGTATTTTTTTTCATCTCATCTCTGTATAGT